TTGAGAGACCACCCAAATCAAAACATATTTCCTTTTCGTCAACTCTCCTTTCACTCTTTCACTTTTCCCCTCGTGTTAACAAGATTATGTTAGTTTATTATTAGTTAGTAGATGTATCATAGTCAAGAATGATTTATATTACATTATATTGTACTCTATCTTATGGATTAATGGATTGTTTATGATAAGATGTTTTGAATCATATAAAGAATGATAGTTTTTTTGTCAACTTCACGATAGTAGGTGCGTTTAATGTTATAATTGAGAATGTACATGTAAAATTTTAGGTATTATGATGTCGGATGTACGGGGCGGGTATTATCCAATATCCATGGGTACCCGAAACCCACGGGTATGGGGATGGGTTTGCATAACCTTCCCCGCATGGGTATGTGGCGGGTATGAGTATAGATATTTGATAACGGGGATGAGAATGATTTAGGCAAACCCACCCCAAACCCGTCCCATTGCCATCCCTAATCTCAACATCTAGAACAACACACAATGGCAACGAGATGAAGCTCAGAATGAAAGGGGGAAAAAAAAGAAAAAAAGAGAATGAACGAGCTAGACAACGAGAAAGCAAATCTTGAGCCAAATCATAGAGCATTCTAAACACACTTAGCAACCTTTTTCATTAGAGTGACGTCAAGAACAAGTTCAGTGCGTCCAATACAAGCTTGACAATGGAAAATGACTAAAGCACATTATATATGCCGTCTTCTGAGAATTGTTAGAATACGATCTATCATAGTGAATCACAGATTAGGGATTACACAACCAATTGGAAAAAGAGAAATTGAAAAGGACTAAAGCGGATAAAAATTGCTTCCGATCTAAAACTTGTCAACACAGGTAAGATTCGGTCCTGACCCAAAACTCATCAACATCAGGTGTCACACCAAAACGAAAAGGAGAAATTGAAAAACACTAAGCGGATAAAACTTGCTTTCGACCCAAAATTCTTTAACTCGCTCGATCCCGACCCAAAACTCGTCAACACCAGGTTTGGCCCACTTTGACCAAATCGATTGTTTTGTTGAGTGTGAGAATAAGTTATAAAACAAAAATGTCACCCCTTGGAAGTGACTCTAAGAAATAGTAACCCAAAATTAGTGTGCGGGTTGGATGGAAAGGGGACCAAGTTTTAACAAAATTCACACCTAGCCCAATCTGCCAATTATTATATCGGATAAAATTCGCTCCCTATCCAAAACTCATCTACACCAGATTCGGCCCGCTTTTGACTAGGTCGATTTTTTATTTTTTGGGGTGTGGTCCGTGGGTCGGATGGAAAGCGGGCCGCATTTTTAACAAATTCACTCCCGACCCAACCCACTAATTACAAAAAGTGGATAAAACTCGCTCCCGGCCCAAAGCTTGTCAACACGTGCAAAACTCGGTCCCGACCCAAAACTCGTCAACATCAGGATCAACCTGCTTTGACCATGTTGATTGCTTTCTTTTTTGAGTGATGGGTTGGATGGAAAGTGGACCTAGTATTTAACAAATTAACACCTGTTCCAACCTGTTAATTACAAAAGCGAACACTCACTCTTCACTAAAAACTCGTCAACAACGGGCCGAATTTGGTTGGTGTGCATTTGTTTTCAAAAAAGTATAGAGAGTAAGTTATACAAGGAATTTGACATTGTTTTTTTTTTTCCAGGTCGGATGAAAAGCGGGACCAAACTTTAACAAAATCCACACTCGACTCAACCCGCCAAATAAAAAAACGAATAGAACTAGCTCCCAATCTTAAACTGGTCAACGCCAGATTCAACCCATTTTGTCGGAGTCGAATTAGGTTGTGTTTATTTGAATCTTAAACTGGTCAACGCCTGGTCCATCACTCTCTTTTTCTCCATTTTAAAATTCCTGTTCTTAAAGTGCCTTCCCGGAAGGTCAATCACGTCATTACACTCATAATTAATGGCAATATGCGTTTAATAAAATAAAAGGTTTCTATTTTCGTTATTTTACCCATATTGCATATGTAGGTCCAACTTATTTTTAGTAATAAAATAAAATAATAAATCCATTGCCAAATAATTTAAAGGCAAAATACACTTTCATAGCCAAATCTATTCGCGTTGTGACAAATATAGCCAGTTTTTGAAAAATACACTCGTATAGCCACTTTTGAAAACTTGCTTGACAACTTTAGCCATTTCCGTTATAAACTTTAACACCGTTAACTCTTCAATGATGTGGATGTACACGTCATCAAATGTATGCCATGTGTCAGCCACCTCAGTTTAAATTATTATTTTAAATAATTTTCTTAATTATTTTTTCACCACTATTCTAATCAAAATGAAAAATCATTTAATTTTTTTCTCCCAATTCTCCTTTCCCCTTCCCCATGGAGAGAGCAGAGATTCGGATCTAATTTTTCTCCCAATTCTTTCTTTTCTTCTTCCCCGAGCCGCCGATCTCGTCGTTGTCGGCTTCATCCTCTGTTTGTCATTGGGTTGGAGGAGAAATCAGGGGAAATCATCTTCCCCTTCATCTTCTTCCTCACGCCAGAAACAGAGGAAATCATCTTCTTCTAGCCATTCACACATCAAAGCAGAGACAAGTTCATAAACCCCAATTTTGAATCAACCAAGAACCAGCACTGAGATTTGGGAGAATCTCCCAAACCACAAATACGATTTCTGAATTCTCTCCTCAATCTTTGTCATCCTAAACCCTAGAAATTTCCCCCCAAAATATGCATCCCAATTCACGCCAGGTTCTCCTCAGAACCCCGAATTCTCGCCGCCTCCAAACCCTAACCTTCGATCCATCCCAGCCCCAAATCCTCCGCTCCCTGAAGCTCTCTCTGATCCTCGACCATGGAAACCCCGACGCTTTCTACTTCACCGCCAACGGGAAGCTCCTCTCCGACGACTCGATCCCCATCGGAGGCCTCGCGATTCTGGGTTCGCCGACCTCGCCTCGCTTTTCTGGAATCAACCGCCGGGTGCGACGAAGGATGATAGCGACGATTGCCCGGCTGAGACGACGGATTAGGGTTTGCGCCATCGTCGGGGTGTGGTCTTCGATCGATTCGTCGATCGGGAGAGATGGGGGAGCTGTGTTTGACGAGAGAAGAGGAAGGGTAAATCGCGTGAATGGTAAAAGGAAACTCGATTAATTGGTAAAGTTAGATTTAGGGTTTTACTTTTTTTTTTAATAATAAAATAATATACAATTTACACCTGTCCTGCCACGTAGATTAACAGCGTCCACGTTGCAAGCGTCCATTAGTCCAGTCAGCAGTCGTCAAATTTCCGTTAAAGTTTTGGACGGAATGGCTATACGAGTGTATTTTTCAAAAACTGGCTATATTTGTCACAACGCGAATAAATTTGGCTATGAAAATGTATTTTGCCTAATTTAAACAAAAAATTGAAAGAGCAATTTTTTGGGTCAATAAAGTAAAATAGGCAATTAAATTCGGCCATGGTTTGCTTTATTGCTTATTAATTTTAACAATGAAAATACAAACCTATATTTAAAATATGTAATTAAATCCATTGCGAACAAGAGTATTGTCTAGTTGTACTATCACTACTCTTGAACATGGAGGTCACGTGTTCAAAACTTCAAATCTCTTAAATAGCACCTTATAATTTAAAACAAACTTATATCATTCTTATCTAAATTTTAACAATAAAAGGTGATAAGTCCGCATATAGAATTGAAAGAAATGATAGCTTGCATTGCATTATTGAAGCTGGATCTTCCATCAATACAATTCCTATATGTTGCCACATCAATGCAATTGCAAAAACAATCGAATTTGTGCTATTTATTACCAACTCGACTTTATTGCAATCCTTATTGTAAAAAAAAACTGTATTGCAATCCACATAATTTTAATTCATTTACCCACAATAATACAATTAACTTGCAATTGCATATAAGTGTCTAAGTTATTTTTCTATAAAATAAAAGGTTTATATGTTAATTATTTTATCCATAAATGAAATAAAAAAGAGAAAAAAATCAAATAAAAGAGAGAGAAATTGCAAATAAAATTGCATCTTATGATAGATTGCACAAATGCAATTATAGAGCATGTTTGGAGGTTGAGATTCTCCAAATAGATGCATTTGTTCAATTTGTGTATTATCATTTGATGTATTGATTCAATGCATGTATTAGGAAAATACTTTGTTTGGAGGGGCAATGATGAATCAAAAAGTAGGGTAGACAATCCCTTGTAAACAATCTCACCTTTTGGTAGAGATTTAAAATCATTCATTTTGAGTGATTATAGATGGGCCCAACAAAAAGGTAATACATGCATTCTAACTTAAAATGAACAAAAAAAAACGACTTAATCTTATCATTACATGTATTTGCTAAATACCTCACTTCAAATCTCAACCTCCAAACAAGTCTTTTTTGTCAAAATAGGTCGACCTTCTTCATCCATGGTCGGCCGATATTGTTTTCTTTCACGTAAAATTATTTAAATCTACAAAATTCGCTGATTTATGCCAGAAGGTTTGGCGATTTTCATATTCTGTTTGTAGGAAAGGTCTACCTTGTTCCAGATGAGGTTCTCCCTTACATCCATGCAATTAAAAACACAATTTCATTTCCATTATCATATCACTTTCCAATTCAATATGAAAGTTTGATATAGATGCTCTTACTGATACACCTCCCACAAGTGGATATCAAAGCACAACAAATTAACCATCAACCAACCATTAGCTGACCGACAGGGAGAACGAGGGGACCTGAAGAAATATGCTGCTCAAGAAATATCATAGCAGCAGAAAGTTGATCTATGGCTTCCTAATAGAAACACATTCCTCAACGAGGAAGTAAAAGCAGAGCTGGCTTGTCAGTCAGAATACTCTGCAAAACCTCTTCCTTCTGGCAATAAGTTCCTTCTGAATCGGGGAGAAATCCACTGCAAGAGAACTTGAGTTTGTCAGCAAGGATTGGATTACGACAGACACCCAAACAAACACAAATCGATCTCGCGAAAGGAACTCCTAACCTGTATTATCCTGGAGTATCTCGCGGTCCAGTCGTATCCATGGGATGTGAGAAATGTTGGGCCAATCTTCCTCCTTGCATCTTTTTGTCACCTCTGCACACTGCCGAATAAACAATGACTGCAGGGAGGTGAGGTGTTGCATTGCTGGAGACAGGGATGCTAATCTCGGACAATTTGCAACGTATAATTCTCGAAGAGAAGTGAGGTTGCAGAGGCCTTCTTCTGGCAAAGATTCCAAGTCGTCCATGTCCCTAAGTACCACTTCGGTCAACTTAGAGAGCGGAGTGACAAGGACAGTCCTCTGCAACGAAGAAGAAGAAGAAGAAGAAGAAGAAGAACAAGTTACTGGTCTCGTGATCTTCATTGTCCGGACTAGTGCCTCTGCGCTGGTTCCCCACAGCCATAACCTGCCTTCAACGGTTGGAAACAGAGGCATACGAGTCAACTTTGGGTAATTTGTAATATCCAAAGTGGTCAGACAGGGGAAACGAGGCCACTCCTCCTGATCATGATCTTCCTTTTCCTCTTCTTCCATTGAACAGTCAAAGTTATAATAATTATGATTCACCTGCTGCTGCTGCTGCTTCTTCTTCCACCAAAATCCCTTCAAGTTCCGACAATTTCTAATATCTAGCTTCACCAAAGATGGGAGTTCATGTAGGGGAGGAAGGTACTCCACCTTTATACAATTCTGTAAAAAGATCTCTGTTAGGTATATACCGGAACACAACGAACCAGGTAGCTTGACGCCTCGATTGCAGCTCATAACGGATAACTTCTGAAGGTTGATGAGGCAAGTGCTCGAATCATGATGCGCCAGGGATTCGAGATCATCATCTATATTATCTAAGGTTAATGTGGTCAGCTTGGAGAGTGGAAGAACCAATGCCGATGATGATGAAGAAGAAGAAGAAGAAGGGAGAAGAGGATCAACACCTCTTTCTCCTCTCCTCGTTTCCATCTTCATCTTCATGGTCCTAGCAAATGGTGCCAAGCTCACATCTTTCAACTCGAGTGCGCCTTCAACGGTGGGGAAAGTGGGCAGCCGAGTTAGGGTTTTGCATTTACATATGCACAAGTGGGCAAGACGGTGAAACCGAGGCCACTGACCATCATCTTCTTCCCGAGTTGTTGATCTCATTGTTGAGAAGCTCCGAGAAGAATCACCATCACCGCTGCTGATTCCTTTCAACCTCGGACAATTTTCGATCGTGAGCTTCTTCAAACTCGACATTTGATGCATTTGCAGGGGGAGGTACTCACATCGTTGGCAGTCTTTTAATGAAAACTCAACCAAACTTGTGAGGCCAGACAACCAGTTAGGGAGCTTCACGTCTCCATAACCAATGAGCTCAAGGTGCTTCAAACTAACAAGCTGATTAGCACCCCTTGGTAGGTCTTCCAAAGACCATACGTTTACACATTTAAGCACTTGCAAATTAACCAAGTTAGTAATCGAGTCGGGAAACTTTTTTATTCTAGCGCAACAGAGAGCAAGATATCTTAAATGCTTCAAATCATCGATAGAGTTTAATAACAGCGGTGAAGCATCCAGCGCAGAACTTTCGTTGCCATGCGATTTTGGATTTTCCTCGATAATCATTAGTACTCGTACGCGTAAAAAATGTAAGGACCCGTTGAAGCTCTTTGTTCGAAAGAGATTTGAAACATACGAGAGAGCGCACCTGGATTGCATTTCCCGGCCCATCACCACCGCAATCTTCTTCTCTGATATCATCATCGCCGTCATGAGTTATGAACATGTGTCTGGCCTTTGGAGGAATATTTCTTAGAGGAGTTGAGCTCGAACGTATCGCGCTCTTTTCTCCGGCTATTGAATCAGCTAAGTCGTGCATCAAATCATGCATTCTGCTTGACGACATGCTGCCCGACTTATCCATCTCCACCTCTTGGAAAAACGACCTCCACCACAATATTTTGAAGCACTCGAAGCCTTTATCTTCCGACTCGACGTAACCTTGTGCGACCCAGAGTTGAACCAACATTCGAATGTCGAATCGAAACCCCTTTGGGAACAGCTTACAGTAAGTAAAGCAATGTTTCATGTGAGAAGGGAGATGGTTGAAGCTGAGTTGGAGAGCTGACATAGTTGGATCTTCTTCTTCTCCTCCTCCTCCTCCTCCTTCTTTCCTGATGCTCAAAATGTTCTTTTGTAGGAAAGATGGCCACTCGGTCTTGGGATCTCTTGAATCTGCCAACACGCCAGCAATGGTGCTCACTGCTAGAGGAACTCCATGACACTTGCTCAGTATTTGCTTGCCGACTTCTTGCACTTTCTGGTCTTGTGGGACTTTTCTCGGGTGCAGCTTCTTCACCAACAAATTCCAGCACTCTTCTTTTGACAAGCCTTTCAGGTGGTATGGTTCCACAATGCTAGCACTCGTTTCCGACTTTAGAGCGCTGCCACCAGCCTTGGCAACTTGTTTTGATCGAGTAGTCACCAGCACTTTGCTTCCAGGAGCACCAATCACCAAATACGTTGCCAAACACTGCCAGTGGCTGTCATTCTCCTCCCACACGTCGTCCAGCACAAACAAAAACCTCCTGTTAACAATTTTCTCCCGGAGTTGAGTTTGCGTATTGTCCAGCGAAATATCTGTCCGACTTTGAGGACTAACCGATAGCAGCATCTTTTCGAGGATCGTTCTGACATTAAAGCTCTGCGAAACGTAGACCCAGGCTCTGATAACAAAGTGATCGCGAACTCGATAGTCAGCAAGTACGAGTTGAGCGAGAGTGGTCTTTCCCAGCCCGCCCATGCCAACTATGGGGATGACCGCAACGTTGGCGTTAAGATTGGAATTCAGTAGTAGTCGAATGATATTCTTCTTGTCGTCTTCCCTCCCAACCACGATTGTGGGTGGGTAGGAAGCCGTCTCCCTGGAAGGAAGAGCTTCATCCTCGGTTGGATGAACTTCCAGATGCAAAGTCGCTTTGTCCTTCGATATATCATCGAGCTTCTCCCTTATGGCCTTGATCTCACCAGCCATCTTGAGATCGTAAGCCAGCTGTTTGGGAAGTGAGGAGAAGAGGAAGCATACCAAACTCCAACAAGTAGTAGTAGTTGTTGTTGTTGTCGTTGTCATGCTCTTGCCACCACCATCATCATCCGTTGCTACTACTAGCAGGGCCTTCCTGCGAGCCTCGGTAGCGAGATCGTCGAGCATGTCGTCAGCATCATACATGACGTCGGAGAGCTTCTCAAGCCAGTCTTTGACTTGGTGACGGTGAGACTGCTGCTCTTCTGCATCAAGGAGCACTGCCTGGATGGTGGAGACGGTGCCCTTAAACTTCGCAAGCTCTCGCCTGAAGTTCCACGCGAGTTTTGCAACGGGGAGCAGAATGGTTCCACCTGCCATCTCAGGGGAAATGAAGCGGGGGGGGGGGGGGGGGGGGGGGGGGGGGGGGGGGGGGGGGGGGGGGGAATTTTGAGACAAAGGAGCAAGGGTTCGGAGGTTTTACAGATTGGCAACAACTTCTGGGATCTAAACCTGCATATTTCACCCCCACGCCACATCGTGGTATGTACGTTAATGGCAGGAATAATTAATGTCCGTACTTTGGCCACCATGTGAACCCTTCTGCGTTCGATTCCATCATCTGCACAAAAACCAGTTCAGTTGACCACTAATCAGTAATCATACACATGGGTGGCTTACCCATTTGTAAAGACCTAGAGATCCAAGCAACTAAATAAAGCGACAATAGACATTGGGGATGTTTTATGAATCTTTTGTAACCTAATGGGAAGCTTGCCAGCATTCAAACAAACTATCTCCAGTTAGCTCACTTTGAAAAGGAAAAGAAACAAATAAACAAATTGCCTGAAAAAATACATACACAACAGACAGCTGGTTCATTAAATTTCAATATGCCTTCAAGATAATACGATAATAAATTTTTTAATGATTTTTATGCTGACTAGGCAATGACATGGCATGTTGACTAACGGTCAACAGAGTTGACCGTCCAAATTGACGGTCAAACTATGTGGCGGGCCAATTGAGTCTATATGCTGCATAGTTGAGGTCAGGATGTTAATTTCTGAAACCACGGGCCAAAGTTGATTATATGGTCATAGTTCGGGCCAAAATAAGGTATTAACCCTTATTATTATGATGGAAGCTTATGCTCGTACCGTTATCAGGTGCTCAACGTCTTGCAGGCTGCATGGCGAGCAGGGGGGTTCAGCCTCTGCTGGTGTGGTTGGTAAAATTCCATAGATTGTTGGAGCTAGCAAGAGCAGCGAACGTTGAGCTGCATGAAGAATATAGTAGAGTGCTTTGCAACAGTAACTAGAGACAGCACAATCATTCATACTACTATGTAGCGAGTTGCAGACCTGTAACAAACCTGCCTATAGCAGAAGTGAGTATTGCAAAGTTCGTCCTTGCAGCAGGCCAATGGAGGTGTTGGAAGGACGGAAAACAGAACTTGATGACAGCTTAATTAACACACTAGCAGTGATGACGACCTGGGAAATGGAATATTTGAGCAAGCAATTACACTAGAGCATGATTAAATGCGTCACCTATGGAATCATTTCGGTTTTAGCTTGCACTGAGTTTTGCAGGAGGTGATTGTCACTCATAACAAATACCTTTCTCTGCAGTCTGCTGAACTTTTTTATTACTTGCTGCTGTAACCGTCTCGTAAACTTCCGCTGCAAAGTTTAAGAACAAACAGGATTGAAATTAAACGGTATTGAATGTTAGTAATAACCGTAGGGAAGCTCCACGATAAGAGACCGAAGTCGAGTTGTTATATTGCAGTAACTTGGTATATAACTCACCAGGAAAGGACAGATCAGCAAGAAGGCAGCTCTTTTGGACAACATTCTTCGCATAATTTTCAGAAACGGTATCAACGTTGTGTATCGGCTAATCAGCGTTTCCTTTTGAGATACATACAATGAAGCAAAACATAAACTTCGTCAGCCTGCAGGATTGAATTACACGGAACCTAAATCCTGGAGTATCTCCCAGTCCAGTTTTATGTAAGCGATGTGAGAAATGTAGGGCCAATCTTGCTCCTTGCATCTGCCTCTCAAATCTGGGCAGTCCCGAATAATTAAAGATTTCAAAGAGGCAAGGTGTCGGATTGCTGGAGGCAGATGCTAATCTTGGACACCGGATAATCATCAACTTTTGTAGAGAAGTGAGGTTGAGGAGGCCTTCTTCTGGTAGAGATTCCAAGCTTTTGTTGTAGCTAAGGATCAATCCTGTCAGCTTAGAGAGCGGAGTGACAAGGACACCCTCAACACCGAAGAAGAGAGAGGTGATTTTTGTTGCTGTTGCTGCAGTAGAATATTGTTGAGAGTTGAGATGAGGCACAGCTACAACCACTACTTTCATTTTCATCGTCCGCACCAGTGCCTCTGTGCAGCCTTTCGTCACAGACAACTCACCTTCAAAAGTTGGAAACAGAGGCATCCGAGTCAGTTTTGGGCAATCCACAACTCCTAAGCTGGAGAGACAAGGGAAATGGGGCCACTCCTTATCTTCCTTTTCCTCTTCATCCATGTCTCCTTCGATTGAAGGGTCAAAGTCATAATAATGATCATCACCACCACCATGGTTATGATTATTCCCCTTCTTCTTCCACCAACATCCATTCAGTACTGGACAAAGCTCAATCTTTAGCATCATCAAAGATGGAAGTTCGTGTAGGGGTGGCAGGTACTCTACAGTCGTACAGTCACATAAATAGATCACCGTTAGGTATATACTGGAACACAAGGAAACAGGTAACTTCATGCATAGCCCACAATTCCAAACCTTTAACTCCTGGAGAGAAGTGAGACAACTGCTCAAATTCAGATGTGCCAGGGATTCGAGATCATCATATATCTTGTATAAGAACAACTCTGTCATGTTGGAGAGTAGGTGGACCATGGCTGGTGAGGAAGAAAAAGCAAGAGGAGGATGATCATTTCCATCATCTACAGAACCATCTAAACAATCAACAGATCCTTTTCTACTCATCTTCAACCTCATTGTTCTACCAAATGGTGCCAAGCTCACCTCTTCCAATACTAGCTTCCCTTCAACAGTAGGAAAAGTGGGGAAACGAATTAGCCTTCTGCAATTCTTGATGCACAAATAGGCAGGACGCTGAAATCGAGGCCACTCATCATCATCCTCTTCCTCTATTGTTAATCTTCTTGCTAAGTTTTCCAGAGAAGAATCACAGTGAAAATCATCAATATTGATGCCTTTCAGTAGTGGGCAGTTATGAATTGTGAGCTCCTTCAAACTCACCATTTGATGCAATTGCAGGAGGTACTCACATCGCTTGCAATCTTTTAATGAGAACTTAACCAAATTCGTGAGGTAGACAACCAATCAGGAAGTTTCAAGCCTCCATAACCACCATATATCATCAACTTCTTCAGAATAGGGTGTGGCCAGAGCATGGCTAGTGCTTCGTCACCGTGAGTAGACAAGCTCCTTCTTTACCCTAAGCTTGCTCTGGTTGGACGGCTGCTGCTATATGCACTTGAAAATCTCATACTCCTACAGACCAATGTAAACGTCTTTCCTCACTTAGCACAAGCTAGATCTTGTGTACCCAGGACAACTAGTACGCAATTTGCAGATGATGCACACAAACAAACACCAATAATTTCCACTTAGCAACCACAAATCAAGATTTGGAGCTGAGCATTTTGCTTTCTCATAGCAACCTGCAAACATACCAATCAACTCTTAATAAAAGTATCACTATTGCTATGGAAGTAATGGATTTTTCCATTGCTTGACACACTCCTATATTAACCAGCCAAACAAAGCTGCATTACAATAAATGAGGAACCTGGTATTATCCTCTTGCCAAATCACCCCATTTTCAGTTCCATCTCCCCTCTGGCTGCTGCTTCTGGGATCTAAACCTGCATATTTCACCCCCCACGCCACATCGTGGTATGTACGTTAATGGCAGGAATAATTAATGTCCGTACTTTGGCCACCATGTGAACCCTTCTGCGTTCGATTCCATCATCTGCACAAAAAACCAGTTCAGTTGACCACTAATCAGTAATCATACACATGGGTGGCTTACCCATTTGTAAAGACCTAGAGATCCAAGCAACTAAATAAAGCGACAATAGACATTGGGGATGTTTTATGAATCTTTTGTAACCTAATGGGAAGCTTGCCAGCATTCAAACAAACTATCTCCAGTTAGCTCACTTTGAAAAGGAAAAGAAACAAATAAACAAATTGCCTGAAAAAATACATACACAACAGACAGCTGGTTCATTAAATTTCAATATGCCTTCAAGATAATACGATAATAAATTTTTTAATGATTTTTATGCTGACTAGGCAATGACATGGCATGTTGACTAACGGTCAACAGAGTTGACCGTCCAAATTGACGGTCAAACTATGTGGCGGGCCAATTGAGTCTATATGCTGCATAGTTGAGGTCAGGATGTTAATTTCTGAAACCACGGGCCAAAGTTGATTATATGGTCATAGTTCGGGCCAAAATAAGGTATTAACCCTTATTATTATGATGGAAGCTTATGCTCGTACCGTTATCAGGTGCTCAACGTCTTGCAGGCTGCATGGCGAGCAGGGGGGTTCAGCCTCTGCTGGTGTGGTTGGTAAAATTCCATAGATTGTTGGAGCTAGCAAGAGCAGCGAACGTTGAGCTGCATGAAGAATATAGTAGAGTGCTTTGCAACAGTAACTAGAGACAGCACAATCATTCATACTACTATGTAGCGAGTTGCAGACCTGTAACAAACCTGCCTATAGCAGAAGTGAGTATTGCAAAGTTCGTCCTTGCAGCAGGCCAATGGAGGTGTTGGAAGGACGGAAAACAGAACTTGATGACAGCTTAATTAACACACTAGCAGTGATGACGACCTGGGAAATGGAATATTTGAGCAAGCAATTACACTAGAGCATGATTAAATGCGTCACCTATGGAATCATTTCGGTTTTAGCTTGCACTGAGTTTTGCAGGAGGTGATTGTCACTCATAACAAATACCTTTCTCTGCAGTCTGCTGAACTTTTTTATTACTTGCTGCTGTAACCGTCTCGTAAACTTCCGCTGCAAAGTTTAAGAACAAACAGGATTGAAATTAAACGGTATTGAATGTTAGTAATAACCGTAGGGAAGCTCCACGATAAGAGACCGAAGTCGAGTTGTTATATTGCAGTAACTTGGTATATAACTCACCAGGAAAGGACAGATCAGCAAGAAGGCAGCTCTTTTGGACGACATTCTTCGCATAATTTTCAGAAACGGTATCAACGTTGTGTATCGGCTAATCAGCGTTTCCTTTTGAGATACATACAATGAAGCAAAACATAAACTTCGTCAGCCTGCAGGATTGAATTACACGGAACCTAAATCCTGGAGTATCTCCCAGTCCAGTTTTATGTAAGCGATGTGAGAAATGTAGGGCCAATCTTGCTCCTTGCATCTGCCTCTCAAATCTGGGCAGTCCCGAATAATTAAAGATTTCAAAGAGGCAAGGTGTCGGATTGCTGGAGGCAGATGCTAATCTTGGACACCGGATAATCATCAACTTTTGTAGAGAAGTGAGGTTGAGGAGGCCTTCTTCTGGTAGAGATTCCAAGCTTTTGTTGTAGCTAAGGATCAATCCTGTCAGCTTAGAGAGCGGAGTGACAAGGACACCCTCAACACCGAAGAAGAGAGAGGTGATTTTTGTTGCTGTTGCTGCAGTAGAATATTGTTGAGAGTTGAGATGAGGCACAGCTACAACCACTACTTTCATTTTCATCGTCCGCACCAGTGCCTCTGTGCAGCCTTTCGTCACAGACAACTCACCTTCAAAAGTTGGAAACAGAGGCATCCGAGTCAGTTTTGGGCAATCCACAACTCCTAAGCTGGAGAGACAAGGGAAATGGGGCCACTCCTTATCTTCCTTTTCCTCTTCATCCATGTCTCCTTCGATTGAAGGGTCAAAGTCATAATAATGATCATCACCACCACCATGGTTATGATTATTCCCCTTCTTCTTCCACCAACATCCATTCAGTACTGGACAAAGCTCAATCTTTAGCATCATCAAAGATGGAAGTTCGTGTAGGGGTGGCAGGTACTCTACAGTCGTACAGTCACATAAATAGATCACCGTTAGGTATATACTGGAACACAAGGAAACAGGTAACTTCATGCATAGCCCACAATTCCAAACCTTTAACTCCTGGAGAGAAGTGAGACAACTGCTCAAATTCAGATGTGCCAGGGATTCGAGATCATCATATATCTTGTATAAGAACAACTCTGTCATGTTGGAGAGTAGGTGGACCATGGCTGGTGAGGAAGAAAAAGCAAGAGGAGGATGATCATTTCCATCATCTACAGAACCATCTAAACAATCAACAGATCCTTTTCTACTCATCTTCAACCTCATTGTTCTACCAAATGGTGCCAAGCTCACCTCTTCCAATACTAGCTTCCCTTCAACAGTAGGAAAAGTGGGGAAACGAATTAGCCTTCTGCAATTCTTGATGCACAAATAGGCAGGACGCTGAAATCGAGGCCACTCATCATCATCCTCTTCCTCTATTGTTAATCTTCTTGCTAAGTTTTCCAGAGAAGAATCACAGTGAAAATCATCAATATTGATGCCTTTCAGTAGTGGGCAGTTATGAATTGTGAGCTCCTTCAAACTCACCATTTGATGCAATTGCAGGAGGTACTCACATCGCTTGCAATCTTTTAATGAGAACTTAACCAAATTCGTGAGGTAGACAACCAATCAGGAAGTTTCAAGCCTCCATAACCACCATATATCATCAACTTCTTCAGAATAGGGTGTGGCCAGAGCATGGCTAGTGCTTCGTCACCGTGAGTAGACAAGCTCCTTCTTTACCCTAAGCTTGCTCTGGTTGGACGGCTGCTGCTATATGCACTTGAAAATCTCATACTCCTACAGACCAATGTAAACGTCTTTCCTCACTTAGCACAAGCTAGATCTTGTGTACCCAGGACAACTAGTACGCAATTTGCAGATGATGCACACAAACAAACACCAATAATTTCCACTTAGCAACCACAAATCAAGATTTGGAGCTGAGCATTTTGCTTTCTCATAGCAACCTGCAAACATACCAATCAACTCTTAATAAAAGTATCACTATTGCTATGGAAGTAATGGATTTTTCCATTGCTTGACACACTCCTATATTAACCAGCCAAACAAAGCTGCATTACAATAAATGAGGAACCTGGTATTATCCTCTTGCCAAATCACCCCATTTTCAGTTCCATCTCCCCTCTGGCTGCTGCTTCTGGGATCTAAACCTGCATATTTCACCCCCCACGCCACATCGTGGTATGTACGTTAATGGCAGGAATAATTAATGTCCGTACTTTGGCCACCATGTGAACCCTTCTGCGTTCGATTCCATCATCTGCACAAAAACCAGTTCAGTTGACCACTAATCAGTAATCATACACATGGGTGGCTTACCCATTTGTAAAGACCTAGAGATCCAAGCAACTAAATAAAGCGACAATAGACATTGGGGATGTTTTATGAATCTTTTGTAACCTAATGGGAAGCTTGCCAGCATTCAAACAAACTATCTCCAGTTAGCTCACTTTGAAAAGGAAAAGAAACAAATAAACAAATTGCCTGAAAAAATACATACACAACAGACAGCTGGTTCATTAAATTTCAATATGCCTTCAAGATAATACGATAATAAATTTTTTAATGATTTTTATGCTGACTAGGCAATGACATGGCATGTTGACTAACGGTCAACAGAGTTGACCGTCCAAATTGACGGTCAAACTATGTGGCGGGCCAATTGAGTCTATATGCTGCATAGTTGAGGTCAGGATGTTAATTTCTGAAACCACGGGCCAAAGTTGATTATATGGTCATAGTTCGGGCCAAAATAAGGTATTAACCCTTATTATTATGATGGAAGCTTATGCTCGTACCGTTATCAGGTGCTCAACGTCTTGCAGGCTGCATGGCGAGCAGGGGGGTTCAGCCTCTGCTGGTGTGGTTGGTAAAATTCCATAGATTGTTGGAGCTAGCAAGAGCAGCGAACGTTGAGCTGCATGAAGAATATAGTAGAGTGCTTTGCAACAGTAACTAGAGACAGCACAATCATTCATACTACTATGTAGCGAGTTGCAGACCTGTAACAAACCTGCCTATAGCAGAAGTGAGTATTGCAAAGTTCGTCCTTGCAGCAGGCCAATGGAGGTGTTGGAAGGACGGAAAACAGAACTTGATGACAGCTTAATTAACACACTAGCAGTGATGACGACCTGGGAAATGGAATATTTGAGCAAGCAATTACACTAGAGCATGATTAAATGCGTCACCTATGGAATCATTTCGGTTTTAGCTTGCACTGAGTTTTGCAGGAGGTGATTGTCACTCATAACAAATACCTTTCTCTGCAGTCTGCTGAACTTTTTTATTACTTGCTGCTGTAACCGTCTCGTAAACTTCCGCTGCAAAGTTTAAGAACAAACAGGATTGAAATTAAACGGTATTGAATGTTAGTAATAACCGTAGGGAAGCTCCACGATAAGAGACCGAAGTCGAGTTGTTATATTGCAGTAACTTGGTATATAACTCACCAGGAAAGGACAGATCAGCAAGAAGGCAGCTCTTTTGGACGACATTCTTCGCATAATTTTCAGAAACGGTATCAACGTTGTGTATCGGCTAATCAGCGTTTCCTTTTGAGATACATACAATGAAGCAAAACATAAACTTCGTCAGCCTGCAGGATTGAATTACACGGAACCTAAATCCTGGAGTATCTCCCAGTCCAGTTTTATGTAAGCGATGTGAGAAATGTAGGGCCAATCTTGCTCCTTGCATCTGCCTCTCAACTCTGGGCAGTCCCGAATAATTAAAGATTTCAAAGAGGCAAGGTGTCGGATTGCTGGAGGCAGATGCTAATCTTGGACACCGGATAATCATCAACTTTTGTAGAGAAGTGAGGTTGAGGAGGCCTTCTTCTGGTAGAGATTCCAAGCTTTTGTTGTAGCTAAGGATCAATCCTGTCAGCTTAGAGAGCGGAGTGACAAGGACACCCTCAACACCGAAGAAGAGAGAGGTGATTTTTGTTGCTGTTGCTGCAGTAGAATATTGTTGAGAGTTGAGATGAGGCACAGCTACAACCACTACTTTCATTTTCATCGTCCGCACCAGTGCCTCTGTGCAGCCTTTCGTCACAGACAACTCACCTTCAAAAGTTGGAAACAGAGGCATCCGAGTCAGTTTTGGGCAATCCACAACTCCTAAGCTGGAGAGACAAGGGAAATGGGGCCACTCCTTATCTTCCTTTTCCTCTTCATCCATGTCTCCTTCGATTGAAGGGTCAAAGTCATAATAATGATCATCACCACCACCATGGTTATGATTATTCCCCTTCTTCTTCCACCAACATCCATTCAGTACTGGACAAAGCTCAATCTTTAGCATCATCAAAGATGGAAGTTCGTGTAGGGGTGGCAGGTACTCTACAGTCGTACAGTCACATAAATAGATCACCGTTAGGTATATACTGGAACACAAGGAAACAGGTAACTTCATGCATAGCCCACAATTCCAAACCTTTAACTCCTGGAGAGAAGTGAGACAACTGCTCAAATTCAGATGTGCCAGGGATTCGAGATCATCATATATCTTGTATAAGAACAACTCTGTCATGTTGGAGAGTAGGTGGACCATGGCTGGTGAGGAAGAAAAAGCAAGAGGAGGATGATCATTTCCATCATCTACAGAACCATCTAAACAATCAACAGATCCTTTTCTACTCATCTTCAACCTCATTGTTCTACCAAATGGTGCCAAGCTCACCTCTTCCAATACTAGCTTCCCTTCAACAGTAGGAAAAGTGGGGAAACGAATTAGCCTTCTGCAATTCTTGATGCACAAATAGGCAGGACGCTGAAATCGAGGCCACTCATCATCATCCTCTTCCTCTATTGTTAATCTTCTTGCTAAGTTTTCCAGAGAAGAATCACAGTGAAAATCATCAATATTGATGCCTTTCAGTAGTGGGCAGTTATGAATTGTGAGCTCCTTCAAACTCACCATTTGATGCAATTGCAGGAGGTACTCACATCGCTTGCAATCTTTTAATGAGAACTTAACCAAATTCGTGAGGTAGACAACCAATCAGGAAGTTTCAAGCCTCCATAACCACCATATATCATCAACTTCTTCAGAATAGGGTGTGGCCAGAGCATGGCTAGTGCTTCGTCACCGTGAGTAGACAAGCTCCTTCTTTACCCTAAGCTTGCTCTGGTTGGACGGCTGCTGCTATATGCACTTGAAAATCTCATACTCCTACAGACCAATGTAAACGTCTTTCCTCACTTAGCACAAGCTAGATCTTGTGTACCCAGGACAACTAGTACGCAATTTGCAGATGATGCACACAAACAAACACCAATAATTTCCACTTAGCAACCACAAATCAAGATTTGGAGCTGAGCATTTTGCTTTCTCATAGCAACCTGCAAACATACCAATCAACTCTTAATAAAAGTATCACTATTGCTATGGAAGTAATGGATTTTTCCATTGCTTGACACACTCCTATATTAACCAGCCAAACAAAGCTGCATTACAATAAATGAGGAACCTGGTATTATCCTCTTGCCAAATCACCCCATTTTCAGTTCCATCTCCCCTCTGGCTGCAACCAAGTTGTTCGAACCATGAATTCTCAGTTGATGCTTCTTTCATCCATGGCTTACGAAAGCTTCACATGCTGCAAACTGATTAAGACACCATAAAAAGGAAAATTCATGGTATTCTCTTTTTACCATAAGTCTAGCATGATTATTACAAGTTTGAAGCACCATGGACATATGGGACTCGCTAGTGTGAAATAAAATTTATCAAACTCCAATGATTTCGATGGATGGATTGCATCATACTTGGAAAATAAAATGTGAAAACAAAGAGTTCGAGAAAACACTGGCCATATACTTTATATCAAAGAATTACCCATCTCTCCAAAGCTACACACGTCTCCTTCTAGGTCAGGACCCTGACCGCAGTAAGCTCTAATCTGTCAACCCCCGCCCTCCCTCCAATGGAAGCCTTTGTTCCGTTGCTACTGTTCTCCGAGTTCATGAAGGAAGACGGTGAAGGAATATTGAAAAGGAGGCAAATTGAAGAGGGTGGAGGAGAAATGTAATTTAGTAAGCTGCTCCGAATATCTCCCGAACTTGCATTAACCACAGTTTCTCTTCGACTACATAGAGTGAAAGAAAACTCAACTTTGTCAGTAAGGTTTGAATTACACAGCAATAGCAGAGTACAGGAAACAACAACAAAATCCAGTACTAGTGTGTTAACATTTAAATAAGCGGATACAAATTGATCTGATGAAGGAAATCCCCAACCTGAACTCTGGACTGTCTTTCTGTTCACTCGTATCTTTGGGATGTGAGAAATGTTGGGCCAATCTTTACCCTCTTCTACCTTGCATCTTTCTGTCAACTGTTCACAATTTGCAATCTCTAAAGATTGTAATGTCAGGTGTCGCATTGCTGGAGGCAGAGACGATAATCTTGGACATCCCAGAATCTCCAAAATTTTAAGAGAGGTGAGGTTGCGGAGGCCTTCTGGTAGAGATTCCAAGTCCGTGATACCCCTAAGGACCATTTTCCTCAACTTGGAAAGCGGAGTGACAAGGATAGTCCTCGGGAACAAAGAAGGAGAGGTGGTTGTTGTTGTTGTTGTTGTTGTTGTTGTTGCACTAGTACAATGTTGTAGAGACTCAAGATGATGATGAGCAGCTACTCCTAGTTTCATCTTCATTGTCCGCACTAGTGCCTCTGCGCTGGTTTTCTCCAACCTCACCTCGTCCTCAACGGTTGGAAACAGAGGCATGCGAGTCAGCTTTGGGCAACCTTTGACCGATAACTTGGAGAGACAGCGGAAATGGGGCCACTCCTCCTCCTCCTCCGCCTCCTCCGTCTCTTCTAAATAACGATAAACACCATCCTTGTGATTTTCATTATCGTTATTAATCCCCTTTGTCTTCTTCCACCAACATCCCTTCAGGTTCGGGCAATTCCAGATAATCAGCTCTGTCAAAGATGGGAGTTCATGAAGGGGTGGCAAGTACTCAACCATTCCACATGTTAGTAAACTGATCTTCATTAGATATATACTGGAACACAACGAAGCTGGTATCTTCATGCCTCTGCCACATCTTTCAATCTTCAAATCCTGAAGAGAGATGAGACAACTGCTCAAATCATGATGTGATAGGGATTCAAGATCATCATCTATCATAAATAAGCTCAACTTGGTTATCTTAGAGAGTGGGTGGACCAAAGCTGATGATGATGAAGATGAAGGAGAAGGAAGAAGAAAAGGATGAATATTTGTATAACCATATGGATCTTGATCCGAATAATCAACACCTTCTTCTTCTCCTCCCCTCGTCATCTTCATCTTCATGGTCCTAGCAAATGGTGCTAAGCTCACCCCGTGTAACCTCATCTCGCCTTCAATGGTAGGGAAAGTGGGCAACCAAGTTAGCCTTTTGCAATTACTAATGTTCAAGTGGGCAAGACAGCAAAATCGAGGCCACTCGTCATCCTCTTCCTTTGTTGTTAATCTAGTTGTTGAGTTGCCCGGAGAAGAATCACAATGATCAACATCATTCTTCATGCCCTTCAACATTTGACAATTTTGAATTGTAAGCTTCTTCAAACTCGACATTTTATGCATTTGTGGGGGAAGAAACTCACATCGCTTGCAATCTAGTAACGAGAACTCAACCAAATTCGTGAGGCCAGACAACCAATTAGGAAGCTTCACTCCTTTATAACCACCAGATATCACCATCTTATTCATATTATGGTGTGGCCAGAGCATTTCCAATATCTCATCGTCACGAGTAGACAAGAAAGTGACATCATCAACATTGTCATCATCTCTACACATATATAAAGTATGTGAGAGTCGACCCCAATTTAAAATAAGTGATCGAAGATGTAGCTTCTCCTTCAAGACATAAACACTTTTTCTCGGAGAGTTGACATCTTCCAAGCCTTTGATGGTCAATTCTCCACACAATGCATCCAATCCTTTCAACTCATCCAACCCGGCCGCAACCATCTCTTCATTACTACTACCATCACTCCTCTTCCCAACTACAAAAATTGGTAGCGTTTGGAGAAACTTCAACTCCCCAATCCCTTTTGGAATATGGGTAAAATATTCTTGATAATTTACGCCAAGCTCAAGATGCTTCAAATTAACTAGCTTCTTAATATTCTTGGGTAGTTCTTCCAGCCAACCATTGATGTCAAGCACTTGCAGATTAACTAGATTAGTGATAGAGTCTGGAAGTTTTTTCCTTCCCGAGGAACTATGAAGACCAAGATATCTTAAATGCTTCAGCTTATCAATAGAGTTCAATAACGTTGAAGCATCCAAGACTAAATTTTCTCCAGCTTCTGAGTTTGAATCTCCAACAATCATTAAAATCCGCAAACGTAAGAAGTTGTTAAGGACTAGTTCAAGATCTTTGTTTGAAAGAGATTTGAAACATATAAGTGTCCGTACCTTGCTTGCATTTCCCAACCCATCTCCACTATAATCTTCAATCAAATCACCATTATTGTTTCCCAACCCATCTCCACCATAAACTTCACTCGGATAAACATTATTGTAACCTGTTATTAGCAAGTGGCGAGCTTTCGAAGGAATATATTGCAGAATACCTGAACTTGAACTTCTTATAATCTTTTCTCCGGCTATTGAATCAGCTAAGTCGTGCATCAAATCGTGCATTCTGCATTCTGACATATTCCCCAACTCGTCAACCACCACCTCTTGGAAAAATGACCTCCACCACAACGTTTTGAAGCAGTCAAAGCCTTTATCTTCCGACTCAATGAACCCTTGTGCCACCCAAAATCGAACCAACATTTGAATGTTGAATTCAAAACCCTTCCGAAACAAGTTACAGTAAGTAAAGCAATGTTTCATATGAGAAGGGAGATGATTGAAGCTTAGTAGGAGAGCTGACATAGTAGGATCTTTTCCACCTTTTGTGATGCTTGCAAGCCCCTTTCTAAGAAAAGATGGCCACTCAGTCTTTGGATCACTTGAATCTACTAACACACCAGCTATGGTGCTCACGGCAAGAGGAACTCCACCACATTGTCCCAATATTTGCTTACCAATATCTTGCACTTGTGGGTCTCGCGGAACTTTCCTTGGGAGGGCCTTTTTCACCAACAAGCTCCAAGACTCTTCCTCTGAGAAGCCTTTCAACTTGTAAGCTTCCACAATACTGGTACTTTTTTCAGGTTTTAGAGCTCTAACACCAACCTCTGCCACTTTAGTGGAGCGAGTAGTCACCAACACTTTGCTTCCGAGAGCACCGACGGTCAAATATCTTCCCAAAGTCTCCCAATTGAGGCTAGTCTCCTCCCAAACATCGTCCAACACAAACAAAAACCTCTGGCCTTCGATTTCTTTTCGGAAATGAGCTTGCAAATCATCTAACTCAGGGCCCGCCTGACTTTGACTACCCATTGATCGTAGCATCTTTCCAAGAATCACTTTGACATCAAAGCTCTGTGAAACATAGATCCAAGCTTTGATATTGAAGTGAGTTTTAACTTGATCATCGTCAAATATAAGCTGAGCAAGAGTGGTTTTTCCTAGCCCACCCATCCCAACAATGGGGACAACGGAAATGTTGGCTTCAGAATTGGACTTCAGCAAGAGGTGAATGATTTTATTCTTGTCATCTTCCCTCCCAACCACAATTGTGGGTGGGCAAGAATCCGTCTCCCTGGAAGGACGAGCTTCGTCCTCCTCGATGGGATTAACCTTCAACTCCAAGCTAACCTTGTCTTTTTCAATAGCCTCGAGGTCCTCTCTAATGGCCTTGATAGCATTCGCCATCTTAAGATCATACCACAATTCTTGTGGAAGTGAGAACAGAAAGCATACAAAACTGCAGCACGTCGTTGTTGGCATCCTTCTCCTAGCACCATCATCATCATCATCTATTGCTGATGCTACTAGTACGGCCTTTTTGCGAGCCTCGGTAGCGAGATCATCGAGCAGATCATCGGCATCATACATTATGTCTGAGAGCTTCTCGAGCCAGAGTTTGACTTGATGATTGTGATACTGCTTCTCCTCAGCATCAAGGAGCAAGGCCTGGATGGTGGCAACGGTCCCCTTCAGTTTACAAAGCTCGTGCTTGAAATTCCATAGGAGTCCAATCTGCTCTAAGGCCATGTTGGTTGCCTTGGCAAAGATTTGTTTTGCTATGGGGGCTAGAATGATTTCAGCAGCCATCTCAGGGTAATCAAGGAAACAAAAGAAAAAGCAGAGGAACTGGAGCTAGAAAGCAAGGGAAAACAGGAGAGCAAGAGGAGAAAAATGAAGAGCTAGAGAGGAAGAAAAACAGGGGTTCAACAGGGCCAGAGCAAAATCAAAAGTCACGAAGCAATGAAAATCCAAGGGATCATAATGATTTCGGCAGAATTGAGGGGGAAAATAACCATGGCAAAAAACGAGGGCGAGATTGCGGGGGGGGCACCAGGGAGAAAGCGTGGAAACATGGAAACGAAAGAGGGAGAGCAAATCAAGAGTGTGAAAACAGGGGAAGTTAAGGAAGCTAGAGAAAAGAGAAAATCAAGAGTAAGAGAGACAGCAAGAGAAGTAAAAAGGCCAGGGGAGCAACAACAAACTCAAATCAATTCAGGAGTGGCAGAACAAGGGAAAACCAGGGGAGGGAGAGCAAATCAAGAGTTTTAGGGAGCAAGGAGATTATAAGGGGAAAACAGGGGACCAAGAGCAAGAAAGACTGGAGCTTTTCCTACCTAACCAATTTAATTTTTTTTTAATTTCCCCACATCATGTGATAGCTCACAGCAATGACTTTTGGATCATTCACATTACCTTACCCTAATCATCATGCGATAAAAACAAATTTAAATTCATCAACAAAGACTTGGGAAGAAGAAGACCATTTACCGATTATTATATTCCACTGATGAGCATTTGAGTCCTGTACGCGGCTGTAACTACCGTTGAATTGTTTCATCTTGGAGAGCCCCTCAGAGAAGGGGGGAAAGCGCCAGCCAAACTGACGCCAGAGAATTTATCGACAGTCTCCTTGAGATTAAGGACCCAAACAATGACACGATTGGAATTGAAGGATTTTCCACTCCAGCCGTCTCCAAAAAGAGGAGGTGGAAAAAGACTCAGAAACGGCGTCCTGCAGTTTCTTGATCTCGCCACTGAGAGCCCAAAGGGCAAAGGAGTGCAATCTGCTCCAAAGCCAAGTCTCCCAACTTGCCAAGAATTTGTTTAGCAACAGGGATCAGAACAATTTCAGTCAGAGGGGAAGCTAGTGGGATGATGGGAACTGTAAAGAGATATGCCCTTGAATTTAAAGGGTCCAGTTTCATTTAGCAGATATTGATCTAGTATACTCTTTTTAGTATCATGTGATGTAATCTATTAAAAGACTTTTGACAAAGAAATGCTAACTGGATTAACAATTACCTAATGTTTATCATATTTGCTGATTGATCTGTGCTCCTCTTTCCTTCCCGAATCTGCACAATCCAGACCGAAAGGACAGAAACACCCAACTGAACAACCGGAAACTCATCAACAGCGAATTCGAAGGGCTTCTTCATAAGCTGCTGGTAACTTGTGCCCTCTACCTTTATTGGATACCATTGTTGGAATCTGCCTTGGGGAGAGAAGCATAGCAGAGAATAGCGATAACTGGATAATGGAGATGAAGCAGAAGAAGAGCAGCAAGAGGACTAGACCATTTCCCCTTCAGTCATGATAAGCTTGCACCATTTAAAAAAGGAAGGGTGCAAATTCTGCTTCGAGAAGGACGAGGTGTTTACAGGTACAATCGAAAGCAACAAATTAAGTAACTTAGTGCAAAATTCAAGCATGTCCAATCCAGAAGACCAAAGAGAAGTCTCAAACAATATTCAAGAGAAACCAGGTACTTCTATTAAGGGAAGTCGGGTCAAATCAATGGTAACATGCTCAATAGGCCAATAAGTTTTATCAATTGCAACATAATAAAATGGAAGTCTTTTTTCTAAGCATCATACGCAGAACTTGAAATTATCCACCAAAATTTGCACGCTTATGGTTCTCTATATATAACCAGAAAAACCGGAAGAGAAACATAACAGAGAACTACACAATAGCTTAGCAACTCTCAATCTATTTCCTTCTACCTCTTCAGTTTATTTGGGACGGATGACTGCAATGTCCAACTTCATGACTCATTGTGAGAGCTGCATGACAATGTTTCATTTAATTCCTTCTACCTTTGTTTCGATTGGAAGAAACAACCGTCCACCCATCGTCCTCCATCTGACCTTCATTAGGCCTGTTCTCCAAACTCGCCCTAGGCTGAGGAGCTGGCGAATCCACTGCCATATTTGACTTAATTCCAGGCATCACATCACCCTCATTATCACTTTCATCCTCCGAGGAGTCATCATCATCATCATTAACAGCCTAATACAGCATAAACAAAGCAACATGAACACAAACCACCACCAAGAACTAGTGAAAACACCCACATTACAGTTCTTAAAAAGAGTGAAACCTGTCTGATATGTTGATGAGTTCCTGCTGCAGGCCCTGCTCTTCTCAACTTCTCAACAGAGCTATAATCAGCTTCCAAACATTCCTCATGCAAAATCATCAACTTCTCTGCCACCTACAATAACGAAAAACACCCAGAACTTTTCAGCAAGATTAAGCGCCAACAGAGAAGGGAAATCACTATACGAGGAAACCCAAATCTCAATTACCTCCTCTACGCTACCATCCTCAATCTCGCAATTGAGAGCAATCATCCCTTCGTCGAGAAAGTCCTCTAAATCATCAATGTAAAGCGGCTCGGCTGGACTCAACACGAAAAACGATAAAAAAAAGAATCAGAAATTGCTACAAGAACCGCAAATCTCACCAGCGTCGAATTTCCCATCTCGAATTAGAGCGATTCTAGACACTAGCTAGGGTAATTTTACCTTTGGGTTGGGTGAACCAGGAGACGATATCGGAAGCGAGTTGATCGGCCAACTGGCGGGACCGGCGGCCGGCCCATTCTTCTTCGATGGCGAGCTGAATACCCGACCACCGGGAGAGAATCAAGTATACGCCTTCGTTGAACACGGGCAGTGATTCCGCCGTCAGCTGCTTTGCTGGCCCGTTTTGGGCGTCTCCTCCGCCATTCATGATTTTCTGTCCCTCTTCTCTTCGCCTCACACCCTGTTTCTACTTCCGAGTGGGTAAAACCCTAACAGCCTGTTTGGATACAATTCCGGAAGAAATGGAAATGGAAATGGAATTCAATTTTTTATTTTTATAGAATTCCATTTCCAATTCTAGTGTTTGGTATAATTCCTACAACTATGGAAATGAATTGCACTTTTAACCATAATGAATAATGTAATATGTTTGTTTTATTTTGGGAAATGAAATATGAATGAGAGAGAAAGAGAGTAAAATGATAGTGGGTCAACAAAATAATAAAAAGTATTGATGGGTCCCACTAATTTCATCTTCATTCTCTCAATTCCTATCACTTTTGATAGGAATTGTAATTCTCATATTTTAGACCCATTGGAATTCAATTCTCAACCTTTTTATTATTCCAAACATAATATATGGAAATAGAATTGGAAATGGAATTCCAAATCCTTACTTTTTTGTCAATCCAAACAGGCTGTAATCTCTATCAATTTAACGTTGCCGCCAAAAGCAAAATTGTTGGGCGGTTAATTGTCTAAATGGTCACTAAACAATTAGGATTGTATTATCTAAGGAATTTGACTACGTAACCTGTGGTTCAATATCAACAATAGCTAGAGTGTAATAAGGGGTGTCACGAAGAAAGCACAAAATATTAGTAGCATTAGTTAGTTAATTATGAAATTTGGGCATTGCTATTCGTCGCTCTAAAAATTTGGATTTATCTTTTTAAAACATACGAAGTTACACATTTATCCTTAACTTACAATTGATCAATCACCCTTCTCCGTTCCCAATCCAATCTTCGACAACAGCAACTCCCAACTCCATTGTCGTCGCCGACCTCTGCGGAGGAAGAAGCAACCGGCGACCTCCGCATCCTCCTTCGCCGGCCACCTCTATCTCGCGCGCCCATCTTCCTTGCCGTCACCCAATCTGTCAAATTCCATAACCCGATCTCCCACAACCCGATCTCCTACACCCTAGATCCGATATTTCCATAAGTTTTATCACTAACAGATACCCTTTAACAATGTGATGGTGATCATTCATATCCCAATAACGGAATCGCACACCATTCTAACTTATCAAGTATCAGTATTGTACATCATTCATTCAAATTACCACTTCTGCACTTTTTTTTTTTTTTTTTTACAAAAGATAATCTTATATTGATCAAAGAATAGACAGTTACACCCTGGAAGACAGCCAGGTCTGAAAATCAAACGAACGACTCATGGTCGGGTACAAAGCAAGGGCTTTTCTAGCCACCAAATGGGCTACCCTATTCCTACGCCGACCTATAAACCGAATACTAAACCCAGGCAAAACATGGAGTCAATTAGCAATTTCTTCAAGAACAGCCTCCATCCTGTTATCTCCATGATCCCCCCCCGATTAAGTTTGTCAATAATGACTTTGGCATCTCCTTCAAAACTAACATCAGTGAGCCCCAAGCCTTGACACCAAAGCATGGCTTCTCTAAGCACCAACAATTCTACTATCATCGGGTCCTCAATACTCGCAACTTGCACTCCCCTAGCCATACTGATCACCCCAGTAGGCAACAGAAGAACCATACCACTTCTGCACTTAGAAACCTTTCACTGCTTGTATTTAATTTCTAGGACAAGGAATGGGAAAAGGTACATCGAACGGTGAGGCTTGGACGGATTTCTTCTCCCTCCTCCTTAAGAGAGGCGCCATGCGTGGTATTTTTGTCGGAGCGTAAGAAAGGGAGGTGGGCGGCAGCGTCGGGGTCGGGTTAGGGCTGACATTCTATTTTTGTTACTTAAAATCAGGGATAAAATTGTCAGTTTGGTATAATTTAGGGAGAAAAAAATTAAATTTTAGGGCGATTAATAGCGATACAGTATTTAAATTCTAAATTTCAATGTTAATCGCCAAATTTTCTACCGTTAAATTACAACAAAATAATAAATTAATTTTATTTACTAATTTCTACATGAAAATTAGTTTATATCAATGTATTTGCTTGTGAAAATAGATTTGATTTGCTACTATCATATGTCGATGCACAAGTTGATAACATT